AATTAAGAGGCGCTCTTTCCATCTTCTTGTATTTTTTTTTTTGTTTGTTTTTTTTTTTTTTTTCCTAATTTATCTATTTTGTGTTCTGTAATTTTCATTGTAGAACTCTTTTACTTCCTTGGTTAAGTTAATTGGGAGTTTTTTAAAAAGCCATTGTGAATGGAATAGTTTTCCTGCTTGCTTGCTCTTTCTATCTATCTATTTATCTATCTTTCTTTCTTTCAATGTGTTTAGTACAGGATGCACAGGGTCTTACTACACCGATTGGACTGATAGTGATCCTCCTTTTTTCAGCCTCCCAAGTGCTGGGATTACAGGCATGCGGCACTATGCCTAGTCTCAGTCACCCTCACAGGGCGCCTTGGGGGTGGGGCCGGCATTTCAGTCTGCTGAGCTATCTGGCCCGTCCTTCTGGTTTCTTTCTGAGCTAGTCTATTAGTGTAAGTTTTGTTGAATTTATCAGTTCTAAAAGTCTTTTGCTGGAATCTTTAGGGGCTTCTAAGTATAGGATCCTATCATTTGCAAATAAAGATAATTTGATTTCCTCCCATATTTGTGTCCCCTCCTTTTTTAAAAAAAATTTCTTCTGTGTAATTGCACTAGCTGAAATTTCAACTGCTGTAAGAGTAGACACCGTCATCTCGTTCCTCACTTTAGAGGAGACACTTTCAGATGTGTCTGACTCTTGAGAGCCTTTTAGGACTCAGCTCGTTTTTGTGCCATTCTTTCTACAGACCTTCAGCCATATCTTGAGATTGGATTAGCTCCTTAGTGTTCCCACAGAAAGCTCTGCTAGTACTCATCACACTGTGCTACACCGGCTCCCCCCAAAATAAGACCCAGCTGGAGAATGATCAGCCCCAGGCAGACATGATGGTACAGGTCTGTAATTCCAGCACTCAGCAGGCTGAGGCAGGAGGATTACTGTGAGTTTGAGGTCAACCTGGGCTATATAATGTGACCCTGTCTCAAAGAAAGGAGGAAAAATAGCAGACCCAGCCAGCCTGTTGCCTCCCCTGCCTTACAGAGTAGCCACCAAGCTAGAGAGCAGTAGATACTGAACGCCTGCATGAGTTAATGGCAAGACTGTCTTTTTAGAATTTCAGCTAAATAGCTTTTCCCTGGGATCAGGGAGATAGCTTAGTGGAATAAGTGCTTGCCTGGCAAGCACAAGGTCCTGAGTTCAATCCCTGGTACTACCAAATATAAATAAATAAATAATTTTTCCCTGAAGGTTGTTCCCCCCCCCCCCCAGAACCAGGGATTGAACTCAGATCCTTGCACTTGCCAGGCAAGCACTTATTCTACTGAGCCATCTCCCTGGCCCCTGAAGAATGCATTTTCTTTGACTGTACAGGTAGAGGTGAGGTAAAGATGTATGTAGTTTATACTGAGAAGCTGTCATTCTCACTGTCTGTGCCCAGCGTCGGTGGACCCTGTAGGAGGACAGTGTATGCTCATGAAAAAGTAACTGTTTGACAGGTCAGTGTCTGACCATTTAGAAATATGGACAGCTGCTGATAAGTGTCAGGCCCATATAATATTCATAATGGACATGGAAATAGAGCACCAGGAAGTGTGTGGGACATGGCTATTGGTTAACTGGATTGATTAACATGGAAGCCAGCAGGAGGCTTTCTGCTTCTGTTTTATTTGACTTGTCTGTTCCTCATTTTGGATTGATTCATTGGAACTTTTTCTTTATTTTTTTTAGGTCCAAGACAACTTTGACAAGATTGAATTCAACAGGATGTGTTGGACCCTCTGTGTCAAAAAAAACCTCACAAAGAGTCCCCTGCTCATTGTAGAAGATGATGCATTTAAAATATGGGTTATTTTCAACTTTTTGTCTGAGGACAAGTATCCATTAATTATCGTGCCAGAAGAGGTAAGGTATGGTTCTGGGGAGTTTTTTACATGGTCGTCTTGATAATGAATAGAACTGGCATGGAAGTATTCGTGCTGATTCAGTGTTGATATGGAAGGAGACCCTTGACTAGTGCTTTTGAGTATGAGGCAAAGCAGCCTGAGCTCAGAAAAGCCCCAAACAATGATTTACAGAGTGGGCGCTCACCTCTCTAAATTGTTATGATAATAAATGAATCCATTTCCATGTCCCTTTATTTATTTATTTTGTTTGTGGAACCAGGGATTGAACTCAGGCCTTTGTGCCTGCCAGGCAAGCGCTTATTCTACTGAGTCATCTCCCCGGCCCCCATATCCCTGTATTGATTACAAGTCACAACATACTTTTCTTTTTACTTTTGTGTGTTAACAAATCCATAAAAACAGAGTTTTGTGTAGTGGCACACATCTGTAAACTCTGAGAAGCTGAGGCAGGAGGATTCTATGTTTGAGCCTGGCTTAAGCAAGTTAGCAAGACCGTGTCTCAGGCTGAAAAATAAGAAGGGCTAAGAACGTAGCTCATGAGCTAGCCAAAAAACTCAGCAGATTAAAGCACCTGCAAGCAGATGCAGGGGTCAGGGGTTTGATCCCCGGGCCTGCTGTGCCGGGGCATGCTGAGATGGCAGTTGAGACGGGGTGTGGTGGCGCACACCTGTAATCCCTGCTCTTGGGAGACTGTAAACAGGTGGATCACTATGAGAAGTCTGATCTAGTAGTGAGACCCTGAACACCAACACCCTGTGTAGGCCCTTCCCTAAAATACAAATAAATAAAGAAAGAAATAAAGAATGTATCTCAGTGCAAAAGTCCTGGGTTTATTTATTCCCCAGTACTGGGGAAAAAATTGACTGAATCATGCAGCGATACTTTCTGGCTAACACATAAAATCCATAATGCTCTCAAGGCTGTTAATGGAGTAAGTACCATTTTTGTTTTAAAATCTAAAGTGATGGCTTTTTACTAGAATATATAATTTTTTTAAATGTATTAGGACAGGGTCTACAGGGTCTCACTGCATAGATCGGACTCGTAGTGGTTCTCCTGTTTTCAGCCTTCCAAGCATTGGGATTACAGGTGCACGCCACCACACCCAGACGTAATTGCTGTTTCAGTGCACCCCGGAGGCAGGGATCAAACCCTGGCTGCTGTGCTCTGCCTAAGCAGGTGCTTTAGTCTACTGAGCTATCTGACTGGCCTTTTATTGGAATTTTAAAAGTAAATGAAAAGTGAGAACTGTTTGTTTTGTTCTGGGTATTTTTTTAAGCTCCAAAAGGGTGGAAAATAGAAGTAAAGTTTCTTTAAAAAAAATTTTTTTTTTTAAAAATGTATTTGATATAGGGTCTCACTATGCAGTTCAGACTCATAGTGATCCTGCTGTGTTGGCCTCAGCAGTGCTAGGATTATAGGCATGTCCACGTCTGGTCTTGGTGGCCAGGTCTTGGTGTCTGGCTCAGAGCACCTGGAGCAGGGCTGCATGGTGTGTGGTGCCTGGGATCAAAGCCTGGTCCCTGAGCTTGCCTAGGCAGGCGCTTAGACCACTGAGCTATCTCCGCAGCCTAGAAGTAAGGTTTCTGTGCTGCCTTACTGCCCTAATATGTTATATATATAATTCATGCTTATTACAGTAGAAAATTTGAAGAGATTAATAACATACAAAATTAAAATCAGAAGCTCCAGTGGCGCAATCGGTTAACACACAGTACTTATCTAACAAAATTAAAATCAGTTGTAGGAGCCGGGGAGATGGCTCAGTGGAATAAGTGCTTCCCTGGCAAGCACAAGGGCCTGAGTTCAATCCCCGGTTCTGCCAAAAAAGAAAATCAGTTGTAGTTCTCCCACTAAACAAAGTCATGTGTAATCCCTTAACCTTGGGCAAATTATTTAAACTCTTCAGTTTTAATTTCCTCATCTGTGAAATAATGCTGATGGTAGTGTTCATACAAGAGTTGTGAGGTTCTTCATTTAATAAGACTTGGTTTGGTGCTTGGCCTGTAAAATGCACTCAGTAAATGTGTTAATTCCTCTCATACTATTAATGTTCTTACACACTATGCTTATTTCCTTAAGTAAATTTCCAGCAATGGAATTCTGAATCCTGAGAAATGTACAGTTAAGATATTAAATGAACAAGGCATAGTTGTCCTTCAGAAAGGCTGTGCCAATTCATACATCTAACAGAAGTGGTTTGTGGAGCCCTCCCTGTGCTTGCCGTCCACCAGTATGGAGTCTGTCTGTGACTTATGTGTTTCATGTTTATAGTAGTGGTACAGCTAGAATCTGTTTAAAGATTTACACTACAGTGTTTTATTTAAAGCCATCCAACATTTATTGACTGCTGATACTAAGTGAGGCACAGAGGGGAATACAAAGTGAAAATTACTTCCTGTCTTCAAGGAAATTACAGTCTACTGAGGAGAAATATAAGTTAGGTGAAATGTAAAGCAAAACAGACTACCTGTTCTCAGAGGCACAGATGTGATTCAAATACAAAGAAGGGAAGAGTTTATTCCAGCTTTG